AAGACTAAAATGACAAAAACATTTAAAAAACAAAGTAAATGATTTTCTCAGATGTGAATATTCACTGTCGGACAAAACTCTTTGAAACTAAACTGTGAAAAATCCTTTGTCAGATGAATTGATGATGAAATGAATCGTCAGCTGCAGTCAGAGCTGCCCCCCCCCCACCACTGCTAACACTTAGTAACTGAACATGAAGTAAATTACGTGAAGTCGTCGTTAGAATATAAGAGATTATATCGTTATATTTTCTAGGTGTAGAAATCTGTAAACTTTTCTAAATGTTGAAATGAAGTCTGAGGTCCTCTTCGTCCCGCTCGTCCTCCCCTCCTCCCCTGCTGAACCGCCGCCGGCTGAGTTTCTCCGGGTCGTGAGAGGCCATGTCGCTGAAGTCTCGGAAGATGTCCTGAAACGTCTGGTCGTCCCCTGAGGGAATGACGTCACATTTAAAATTAGCTCGCCGTTGTTTACAGACGATTGTTAAGAGCGCCGGTTAGAGGTGAAGCAGAGTCGACTCACCAGCAGATCCAAAGACTCCGTCTGAGTCTCTCATCTCTTCATTCATCCTGGCCATCCGCAGCCTGAAACCACGACAACCAGAGCCGATGAAACACTTGACTCGTGTCAGGATGAATAATCTACAACTGACGTTAGATAAACATCAGATCTCCACCTCTGATTTAGCTAACGTAGCTTGTTAAGCTAATAATGTGTTGTTAACGTTAAATAATCCGGATCCTTAGTTCGTTTACAACGTATTAATAATTAGCCACAGCTTTTCCTCGGACACCGCTCGTAACGCTACAGACAAACGACGGCTGTCAGACGTTCACTGTGACGGATTCCACAACTTCATTCTAACACGTTAAACATTCCGGTGACTTACAGCGTGACAATGTCAGCGTGGGCCGTCTCCACGGCGATGGCCAACGGGTCCTGTCCTCTCTCGTCCACCGCGTACTGATTGGCTCCTCTCTTCAACAGCAGACACACCTGCCTACAACAGCCAATGAAGATCAGCCACATCTGATCTTATTTAAACAACGTGCAGTGTGTTGCACAGTGTTATTACCCCGTGTGTCCAGCGGTGGCAGCAGCGTGTAGCGCTCCCCGTCCTCTCAGGTCTCGGTAGTTGATGTTTGCGCCGTTCTGCAGCAGGAACTCACAGGCCAACAGTGACCCCTGCAGGACGCAGAGAGAAACATTCAAAGAAATCTGAACAATTTGAATATATATA